AGATCCTCGCCCCCCAGCCCTGTCAGCCGCCCCTGTGGAGAGACAGAGATGGAACGCTGAATCCAGATGCCCAAGACAGCCTGGCTGTGGTTCCCAAGGTCACCCTGGTGTGCTGTGAGCACCTGCAGTTTGACGGTCCCCTCAGCCCCCTCCCACAGGGTGGGGACCCCCAATGGACAAAGGCACAAACTGCTTGTCCCAGGATGGGGGTGCACAGCCAGGCTGCGCCTGCCCAAGTCCCCCGGTCCTCCACACGCTGTAACAGCCACAGCCTGTTCATCTGATCGCATCAGTTGTCAGAATGCTGCAGATGCTTCCTGCGGCCTGCACTCCAGCCCAGCCCGGCTGCCCCGCCAGCCTGGCCGCCCCGCCAGCCTGGCCGCCCCGCCAGCCCGACCCACTCATCCTGTAGCTCTGAGCACCCCGACCACAGAACTCCAAGCATGGGGTTTTCTTTTTCTTTTATTAAAACAGGGTCTCCTGTATCCCAGGCCAGCCTTGGACTCACTATGCAGCAGAGGATGGCCCTGCGCTCCTGATTCTCCTACCTCAGCCTCCCAGGTGTGTGCTACCAGGCCTGGGTTATGTGATGCTGGGCAAGTGCTCCCCACTGGGCCACAGCCCCGGCCTGAAGTCAAGTTCCTGGGTCACCACCATCTCCTGCATGCAGCAGAGGCCTGACTGGACCTCAGGGATCAGGGTGCAGGCTGTGCAAAGGCCCTGGGGCAGGCTGAGGGGCAGCATGACAGGCGCTCACCTCCACGCTGGTGATCAGCCAGTCGCTCACCGCCTGGCTCTGGGCTCCGCTGGTCACCATCTGGAAACCGTTGGCCGTGGCCGTGTGCAGCAGCACTGGGGACACAAGGGGTAAGTCACCTGGGTCTACGGCCAGGGTCACAGCTGGGGTGGAGACCGCAAACAGGCCCAGGACAGCCCCAGCCACAGACATGGGGACACACGCACCCTCTGGCAGCCTAGCTCACCTTCAGCGGCAGAGGCGGAGCCCTGGGAGGCGGAGGCGGCCTGGGTCTGCTCGTAGATGGACAGCAGGGCCTCATCCTCCACAGCAAAGTACACGGGAACCACAGTCTCCATGGCCAGCATCTCAGGCTCGATCTCCATGAATTGCTGTGGGGAGCACATGCATTCAGGGGGCCGCGGCCACCCCTGGAGTGGTTCCCCATCTCAGCTCCCTTCCTGAACGCCAGAGAACACAGCCCAGTGTCCTCGGGGACAAGTCACCACCGTCAAGACTCAGGAAGGCAAAGCCAGCGCTCAAGGGGCGGGGGCGGGGACGGCGGCACAGCTCACCCGGACAACGTCCTGGGGCACAGCGGCCATGGCCCGGGGCAGGATGATGACCACAGCGCCCGCGGACTGTCGCAAGGCCTTCTGGTAGTGCTCATAGGAGAAGTCCAGAAGCCGCATAAGCACGCAGCGGCGGCTCAGCACGTCAGCATCCACTGTGCGTGCCTCCGTGTTGAGCACTGCATTCCGTGTGCCTGTGGGGACATGGGGTCACAGCATCACAACCCAGGGTCAGGGTCCTGCACCTGTCACAGCTGCCGGCCTCCCAGCGTCTGGACACCGTCTGGGGCCTCCACGCCAGCACACAGGCCATGGGGAGTGGCTCTTGCGAGACAGGCATGGGACAACTGCCACACGGCCCTGTGAGGGCCAGAGGACAGCGGTGAACCGCCATGGACCTCAGGCCACAGTGGGCAGCTCCTTCTAGGAACCACAGTCCCCTGTGCCCTACAACACACAGCCAGAATGGCGGCACAGTACAGAGCGGAGCTTCACAAACGCTCGGTTCCCCCAAGGGTGATGGCAGGCAGCACCCCTAGACACACATGGCCAGGAGGGGGCAGTGAATGGCTATACAGACTGAGGGTCACAACTCAGTGTGGAGGGGACTTGATCCTGGTAGGGTGTCCAGGTTGGTCACCTGGACACTGACACCCAAACTACCATGAAACCCTCCAACCCAAAGGTGTCAAAGGCATGCAGTGGCTGGGTTTGGGATAGTTCCTGTGTGACCACTCCCCAGTCACATGGGGTGAACTGCACCCCAGGATGGCAGCTGGATGGGTCCCTGATGCTCACAGGCCAAAAAAGCTGAGAAATGGCCGTAACCTGAACCCACAGGGAGCCACAGGCCCAGGACCCGCTGAGGCCCTGCTCTGACTTTCCAGGAATGTAGTCGGGGTGGGGGTGGGGCAGGGCCTGCCAGGGACAACTGTCCTGGAAGCCAGCACTGGCCAGGTGTCCGGTGGACACCCGGCTCCTTCCAGGTCTCGCCCCACACCTGTGGGAATCCTACAGGGAGAAACACTCCTCCCTCTTCAACCTGTTCCTGGCCTCTGAGGGTGGCTCAGACGCCAGCTCTTCCTCCGGGTCCCTACAACGTCCCCCAGAAAGCCAGAGCTATGGCAGGGCAGCATTGTGCACCTGGCTCTGTTCCTGGTGGGGATGTGACATGGAGCCCCAGTGGGCAGTGCTGCCCAGGCACAGGTCCCCAGGACTCCCCCAAACCACCATGCTCCCCCTAGGAGGGCGGCCAGGCCTGTGACCTGACCTATGGCCAACCCGGGTCACAACCCCACCCATGCAGTACGGCCCTGTGCAGACATCTGCAGGGCAGGGATGCCGTGAAGACAGGCGCAGGTGCACTGAACAGGCTTCTCCCCGTGGCTGGCTGGCTGCTCAGCTCGCTGGTGTCAGTGACCAAGTGTCAATAAAACTTTATCCACAAGTGCAGGGGAAGCCAAGCCTCATCAGCTGGCTCCAGGCTTGTGAGGGGAAGACAGACCTCAGAGCCACCAGGCCGACAAGATGCCTGCCCCAAGCGCCATGATGACAAGAAGGTGGGTCCTAAGGAGGCCAGAGTCCACAGCAGGAGGGACGGTGGCCTCAGTCACACCCCACTACGAGCCTCCCTTCCCCCACGTCCTTTATTTCTCAACAAGACCCAGGGGAAGTTGGGCAAGGGGAGCTGCAGTGAGGCTGGGTAGCAGTTTGGGGCGGAGGGGACCCCAAGGGACTTATGCCCAGGGTTTCTCAAGACCTGCTCTGGCTGGCTGGTCTAGCATGGTCTCCAGGGGTGCAGGAGCCCCATAGTTCATATCCAGCCAGGGATGGGAGAGGTTGCATGTCGGGCGTGTGGTCCACTGAGAACAGGAGCTCACACACCAGCCCATCCAAGGGGCGGATGCGGGCCACGGGTGTGTGAGCTGGGCATGGGCGTCAGTGGTCTAGGAACTACCCTCTGGACCATGGAATGCTCTGGAACAACTCTAGGAGCTCAAGAGCTATGCTGCCCAGCTTGGTAGCCACCGGCTCCATGTTGCATCTTGGGCGTGTCCCCGGCCACTTGGTGGTAACCCACTGTGGATGACACTTCAGAAGATACTAGGCCACAAGGGACTATAACACTGAGGACACCTGACCACCTACTCCTGGCCCTGTGGACCCAGCCTAGGACGACGCTCATCCTATGGTGCCCTGGGTGCCAGGGCACTGTTTCAGAGCACTGTTCTTGGCCCTGCGAGGCATTGGGTAGCCACCCGGCCTCCATCCCACTCCAGGGTCCCCAAGCAGGGGCAGCCAATGTGGACCCCAACATAGCAATGTTCCTTTAAAGAGAAATAACATAATTATGGGCACAAGGGCCCGTGGGGTCGGCACAGAGAGGGTGGGGGTGTGCAGACCCAGGCTGGCACACTCGCTCCACAATCCCCCCTCAACTCCCCTCCCGCCCCGCGCGCAAACTAAATGCCAGAGGTTCTGGAAGGCCAGGAAGAGGGAGGCTTTAAGAGGCTCAAGACCCAGGCATGAGGACACAGACCCCGGGGAACCCTGGCGAGGGGCAGGGAGCAGAGCAAAGGGGCGAAGGGGTGGTGCTGTGGGAACCAAGGCGCCGGGGGACCCCAGGACAGTAGGCCTGGAGTAACCAGTGACAGAGAGGGGGTCAGGGTGACGGGGGTCAAAGAGAGGCGGGAATCCGGGTGACAAGAGTCAGTGTGACAGCAGGGAGCCTGAGGGGACAGGGAGACGTGGGACTGCCAGGAAGGGGATCAGTGTCAGTGGGGAGATGAGGTAACAGTCGGGGGTCCTCGGCATGACAGTGTGAGGATCGCGGTGACTGGGGGACCCGTGTGGCAGTGGGGAGGATGGCGGCGACAGGGGACGGGATCAGGGGTCGCGCACCGTACGGCTGGCCCTGCAGGTCGTACTGCTGCATGCGGTACACGGTGAACTCGTGCGCGGCGTCGGCAGCGGGCAGCGGCGGCGCCACGAGCAGCAGCACGGCGGGCAGGAAGACGATGAAGCCGAGCGGCAGGCAGGACGCCTTCAGCACGTTCTCCAGCACCTCGCCCGCTTCCTCCAGCATCCCGGCGGGCGGCAGGCCGCAGAGGCGGCAGAGACGGCGGCGGACGGCGACGGGAAGGGGCCGAGACTTCGCGGACTCAGCTCGGCATGGGCGGCCGATGAGGTCTTTCGGGCAGAGCCACGGACGGCCCGCGCCTACTCAAGGGTCCTTCGGGCAGCGCTGCGGACGGCTCTGAGAGCCGCGCGGCCTGCTGGGAAATGTTGTCTTTCTTGTGAGTAAGCCCCGCTATAGACGGCCCCCGCCCGCGGGGCAATCCTGGGAGTTGTAGGCACACTGGGACTTGCGCTAAGACCTCTCAGGAGCTGTAGGAGTCATCGAGCGCGGAGCACCCTGGGAGTTGTAGTCCCACTGTGGCGCTCCCAAAAAAACGATAGCTCCCAAAGCTATGGCGGACAGTCTACCGCTACTGAACTCATAAACTCCAAGTCACAAAACACCAATACTTTTAAAAAAAAAACTATTAAAAATGTTTTCAGTAAAGCTTGCTTAAGCCGTGTGTTTGGCGTCGTTAGTGAGATCAAAGATCGAAAGTGCAAGACGTGACCTTGCGACCCGGATGGAAGTAGAGCAGGTATGAGAAAGTGCCCGGCTGATGCCTTGGTTCTCCTGGGAATTGTAGTCCTGTCGGGCAAGCACAAAGGATGATGGGAACTGGAGTCGTTCTGTAGTCTCTGAAAGGGGAGGAGGTTAAAACGCGGAAAAAAGCAGATATGAAACTTAATGAGGAATCAGATCTTTGTCTTGAAGGTGCCTAGAGCCCCGACCACAAGACGTGGCATCCAGTGGGTGTCCACAGGATTCTGAAGTGAATGAACGAGAAGATGGCTAAAAAATAAATAAAATTCGGGGCAGGTGGCAAGGTTAGGTAAGGCAGGGACTGGCACGGACTTTAGTGGCAGTGGGGAGATGGATGTGGCAATAGTGGAACTGGTGTGACGGTCGGGAGGTCTTCGTTATCCCTATTCATATTTGGGACATATTTAACCTAAAATTTTTGGTTCGCCTACTGCAAATTCAAATTTAATTTCGGAGTACCCAATATTGCTATGGATTTGACCAGTCCCAGTGACTTCGGTTAGGGTAATTTAAGGTGTGAATTAAAATTATATGTCACTCACACCTCTAGGAATACAATAAATAAGAAATAAATGACCAAACACTGCCACCCACCCACCACCAGACACAGATAAGAATTCAATATGAGAACTGGTGTGAGCTTTGAGTAAGGTATGCAGTAGGTGCTTGATAAGCTTTAGGAGAACGCTCCAAGCTTGTGGAGAACTTGGGGATGAAGCCTTCTCTGATGGCCTTAGGTGAGAAAGCAGATTCTAAGATTCAGACTACTGGCCTTGTCCCAGAGAGTGATTAGTCTGCAACAAGTAGATGCCAAGTGTATACCAGGCCTTATGCTAAGCACCAAGGCCACAACCCATTGGAGATAAAAGTGTAGAAAAGTCAACAGATGTGTGCCCAAAACCTTGGACTTCTACCCAGAACTGAGTGACAATCACTGCCATCCTTACAGTCACTGTCGGTGGGACTCGGTTACAATACACTGAGAAACTGAATGTGTAGGTTTCCTTCATTTTAATGATCTTACACAGCCCTGCATGGCTCGCAGCTGCGCTATCGAACAGTGAGGTCCACGGTCCCCTGTCACAGCACATCACCATGGTTCAGAAACGGAAGGGTGAGTCCACGGGGTTACAGGACCAGGTCAAGATATTGCCCCAGACCTGGGGTGGGTGGGTCCATTCTCCCCACATACATAGAGAAGCTGAGCTAGAGACAGGAGGTCATGGGGGCGGGCTGCCTGTCCCAATGGGGAAGTCACCGTGGAGGGGGATGACTGACTGGTGTGTCCCCCAGCTCCACTCCTTCTTGCAACATCTCAGCAATGTGGCTGCCTTCAGACAAATGGGGTAGGCGCCCCTCCATCTCAGCACCCTCACAGAGCACTGTGCACAGTGTGACAGCAGCCCCCACCCCCTTTCCTGACACACACACACGCACACACTCACACACAGGTGTGACTAACAAGGGACCACAGTGTGCTGTCCTGTTGGTGAACTCAGGCATGGTGTGTCCCCTTCACGTCCTGGTGAAGGTGAGGACCAGACTGAGGCCCAGACCCTCTGGATCTGGTTCTGGCCACTCTCTGCTCTGCCAGACATTCAGCATGGGGAGGCTCCGTGAACAGACCCTGGGACCTGCTGGCATGGCCAGGATCGTGTGTCCAGTCCCTTCTCACCTCTCCCGGGAGGGTCTGTAGAGTGTTCATCCTGGCAGCTGGACTGTCCAAGCTCTAGACACTTCGGACACTGGAAATGCTGGACAGCGGCTCTCGCATCTTGAAGCTGAGTGATCTGGAAGCCCGAAAACTGTCTCTTGTCCTTAGCGAGCTGTCGGTGGTGGACGCACCGGAGTGGACCTCGGTGATCCGGGTCAGGCAGTCACCAGGACCCCGCAGGCCTAACCAGAGACAGCCGCAGCAGAGGAAGGCCAGTACTGCGCGCTGCACCTCGCGGCTGCGGAAGGAATAGATGAGGGGGTTGATGGCAGAATTGAGCACGGCCAGGGCCAGGATCCAGTCCATGCCACGTAGGTACTCCTGGGCCCAGACGTTGGAACCGAAGATGTCGGCCAGGAGCAGGCCAAACAGAGGACCCCAGCACACTACAAAGGCCACCAAAATCATCAGCACAGTGTTGAGCAGCCGGCGGGCCTTGCGGCGGGCCGGAGGACGCGGGGACTTCTGCCCGTTGGCCCGGACCACCCGAAAGATGGCCCCATAGAGGCCCAGGATGGCCACCAGGATGAGGGCGAAGACCACCACGCAGAAGAGCACGTAGCCCTTGGAGTAGAGGGGCAGCAGGCTGCTGCACCGTGGGAAGGCACACACGCAGTTCCAGCCCAGGAGAGGCAGCAGGCCCAGCGTGGCCGCCAGCAGCCAGCACAGCCCGATGCAGCCGTACACGCGGCTGGTCTTGGTGGCCCCGCTCTCGGCCACCCGCACCATGGTGGCGAAGCGCTCGCCGGCTGTGAAGAGCAGGCTGAAGGTGGACGCGGCCAGGGCCATGAAGAGCAAGCCCTCCCGCAGGAACCAGTGCGCGGGGGACAGCTGGAAGGTGCGCGTCCCCGACAGCAGCACGTTGACCAGGTAGGCCAGGCCGGTGAGCAGGTCGCTCAGCGTGATGTTCAGCAGGCAGTAGTACACCCAGCGGCGCGACCGCATGCGGGTGGCGATGGCGGCCAGCACCACCGCGTTCTCCAGCACCACCAGGCAGCCGGCCGCCACCGACGGCCCCCGCAGCGTGCCCAGCCCGCCACCGTCCTCGGGGCCCCCGCGGCCGGCCAGCCGCCCACTGTGGTTGTAGTGCAGGACAATGAGGTGGCTGTGACCGCTGGCCGCCAGCCGGTGACAGGACCAGGTGCTGATGTTCATGGCCTCCCGCGGGGACAGACTGACAGAGGCCCCCAGCAGGGTGGAGTTGCAAGCCTGGCCTGGGTTTCCTGTTGTTTGAAATTTCCTGTTATGCTCAAGGTGCCCCCCGGTGGGCGGGGGCGAGGCCAGGGCAGGGAGGGGCACCCTGAGCGACGGTTGAGGGGGGCCGGGAGGAGTCCTCCACACTCTCACCCCTGCCCAGTGTCCCCTTCCCCGGTCCCGAGGACAATGGGTACCGCCTGGCACCTGCCCAGTCCCAAGAACCAACTGTTCCCAGCGTGCTTACATGCAGCAGGTGCTTAATAAATGTTTGTCATCCGTACACAGAAGGTCCATCTTAAGTGTTTTCACTTGTATGCAGCCAGGGTGATGTCACCCAAACCCACCGAGGGCCACCCGCACACAGAAGGTGCTTCATAATTTTTTAAAAAGTCTTGTTACGTTTATTTATTTATGGTGTGTAGGGGTGAGCATGTGCCACACCACGGGCAGAGGTCAGAGGGCAATTTACAGGAGTGGGTTCTCTCCTGCCACCATGTGGGTCCCAGAACCGAACTCTGGTTGCCAGGGCTTGGCCACAAGCACCTTTATCCCCTGAGTCATTCACTGGTGCTTAATGTTCTGTGACCATAAACAGCAGGTGCTTAATCAGTGTTTGATGTGTGTACACAGAGGTGCTCAATAAATGTGTAACAGCGCAGGCCTTTAAGCCCAGCACTCGGAGGCAGAGGCAGGTGGATTTCTGCGAGTTCCAGGCCAGCCAGGGCTACATATTAGAGAGCCCCTGTGTTAAAAAAAAATAAATAAAATAATAATAATAATGAATGTGTGCCACCCGTACAGAGTAGGTGCTTAATTAATGTCACTCAGCGGGGGGAAAAATAGTCATCCCCACACACCAGGCGCTTGACCAGGAATGTGTTTCCTGTACCAGGGACGCTTAATAAACGTTTGTCACCTTTCCACACACACCAAGTGCTTAATAAATGTCACCCAAACACAGTAGGCGCCTAATCCATGTGTAGAAGCACCTGTAACTCCCAGGCAGGGCCGACTCAGGACCATTTTGCATTCAACTTTGCTAGGAGGGCAAACTGAGGCCGGCAGAAGGCTGTGCGGTATCCATCCGGTTGTTTAAATTAGGGACCCGGGCAGGGGGCGAGCACATCCCGAAATGGGGAGGGGTGGGGAAACGGGGTCTCCCGCAGGGGCGCGGGGTGGCTATGAGGGAGAAGGGTGCCCAGGGGGTCGGGTGTCCTCTGGGGTTCCGGGGAAGGGCAGGGCGGGGACCCCGCTTCCGGCACCCTGCGCCCCGGGTCACCGGTCACCAACACCCGGGGCCACTTGGGAGGGGCCGGGGCGGGCGACTGCGGAGGGGCGGGACCCAGCCTGGGTGTCAATCACAGGTGTCAATCACAGGGGCTGAGCCAGACCAGGAGCGGAGCCTTCCCCGCGCTGAGCCGGGATCCCAGGTCACCTCAGGCTGAGCCCCGATCATCACACTTGAGTGCAGCCCTCCCTCTGACCTGGGATCCACGTGAGGCCCAGATCCCGCCCAGTGCCCTGGGCCCCTTTTCACTGACTCCCCAAGTCTCTGTCCTATACTGAGCCCTGTTCCCAGATGGACCCTGAGCCCAGCTAATCTCGTGACCACAGACGCGCCACGGTGCTGACATTCACCCTGGTTGAGACCTGGTTCCAAGCGTCAGCCACACCCCTGACATGGTTCAAGTCAGCACTGAAGTGCTATGCATGGGAGGACTGAGCACAGCACCCTGGAGTGAGTGGTGCTGAGTGAGGGCTGACCAATCCCCTGACCACCATACAGAGCACAAGCTTACAGACACGTGTCCCCCACAGGAGGTGTCTCCATCGACAGCAAGCGAAGCCACGCGGTGTGTGCGCCCTCTTCCTGCCCCGGGTACACCGCCGCCGCCGTGGAGACCGCGCTCTGGCCCCTGTGAGGAAGGCAATTCTCCCAGGTGCTGTTTGCAGATACAAAAATGTCGGGAGGCACGAAATGGCGCCAGAGCCGGGCTTCACATCCGTGAGACTCTGGCTCCCACTCCCAGCACCTGGTTAAAGCCAGGCTGTGTCCCAGGGTGGAGTACTACGCAGCTGTTACAAGGACACGTACCAGGGAGCTGCAGAGAGAACTCAGTCTGCAATGTGCCACCGTGGGACCCCTGAGAACAGCCCAGCTATAACCCCACTGCTCAGGAGCCAGAGAAGGGTTCAGTTCTCCGCCCTCATCTGTTGTGGTGATGTCACTGGGGTTGGGCGTCTTCCTCGGTAGCTTCCCACCCTGTGTGAGGCCGGGGTCTCTCAGGGAACCTGGGGCTCACTGACCGGCTGGGCCGCCCTGGGCTGCCCTGCTAGCTCCCACTGCTCCCACTGCTCCCACCTCATGACAGGCGCGCACCACTGTGCTGGCTCCTGGGTGGATTCTGGGGAGTCGAACTCGTGTCTTTGGACTTCAGCACTTACCCAGTGAGCCATCTATTCCCCACCACGCCCAGTCTCTGGCCCAGATTTGAAGTTGTCTGAGTGCGGTGTCCCCTGCCTGGCTGGGCACGCTGAGGACAAGGAAGCTGCAATCCTCCTGCCTCAGCCTCCCAATCACTGCCTCTGGGGACAGTATTTCTCTACTCGTTTCCCGTTTTTTGTTTTTTTGTTGTTGTTGTTTAATTACATTTATTTCTTTGTGTGCGTCACCATGCACGCCTGTGGGATCCGACTCTGAGACTCAGGCACTGTTCCTACCGAGCGATCGGGGGACCGAACTCCGGCGGTCAGGCTTGGCCGCAAGCGTCTTCACAGGCGGAGCCATCTCGCCGCCCGGTTTCCCCTTTACTAAGGGGTCGTGGAGGAACCAAGCGCACATCGGTGTGGGGCAACGCTGAGTAGTGTGGTGGGCTGGAGTCTGGGGACAGAGGGCTCCTCACGGCTGTGGGCATGTCAAAACCGTCTTTGGCAGGCTTCTACCTCAGGCCCACGAGTGGGCAGACAACCAACAGAACTTCCTCTCTCCCTCCATGACACCTTCACGCATGCCCCAAGGTGAGGATGGCACTGGAGGATGTGGAGAGGGCCCCAGACTGGTTCAATCCGGTCTAGGTAGCCCTGGCTGTCCTGGAACTCGCAGACATCCTCCTGAGTGCCCGGGTTAAAGGCCTGACTCTTGTCCTCTCTCTAGTAACTAGAAGGAGGGCAAGGGAATGAATCGCGCTCGGGCCTGGACCAGCGTGGGGAGCCCTCGCCCTGCAGATTCCTGAGCGTCCGCCAGGGAGTGCCCTATCCTTGCCACCACGGTGCCCCGAGGGACGTCCCGGGTGGAGTCCCGGCCCCGCCCCGTGGGTAAACTGAGGCCGGGCGGGCCACATCACAGCAGGTTGATCTCGTCTAGGTACCGAGCCAGCACCGAGTCCCGCACATCCTTGAACACACTGCGGACGCTGTGCGTGTCCGTGGCGCAGGTGAAGTGTGCAAAGAGGCGGCGCGCGCGGGACCCCTTCCTGCCGCCATCGTGGGGCTCCGCGCAGCCCGCGTACACACGCGCGTACATGTCCATGATGAAGCGCTTGGCGGCCTCTGCGTCACGTCGGGGACCTGCGGAGAGGGGTGGGGTCGGCTCGGCTCCTGTACGTGGCCCAGGCTGGCCTCGAACCCCCATGTGGCCCAGGCTGGCCTCGAACCCCCATGTGGCCCAGGCTGGCCTGAACCTTCTATGTGGCCCAGGTTGGCCTCCAGGTCACCCTGTAGCCCTGACTGGCTTCGAACTCCTGACCCATTTGCTTCCACCTTCCTAGTGCTGGGATGATAGGACAGCGGCTTCAGGCTGGGTTTGTGCGGTGCTGGGGACTGAGCCTTGTGAAGTTCTGGGGGGCCCTCAGAGCCACTCCTGTCATCTTTATTGAGGGCAGACACCATCTTTGTCATCCCAGCCAATGGGAATGAGGACTAACTTGTAAGAGTCATATGACATGAGGCTCAGCTTGGGGACTTGGGGACCAGGGTGGGGCGGGGCCTCCCTCCCTCGACTGGGAACAGGTCCAGAGACCTGGGTGTTTCAGGCATGCAGTCCTCCCCAGATGCTGTCAATCTTTGAAAATCGTGGAGGTCACATGGTGGGGCGTGTATGTGTGTGTGTGGGGGGGCACTCTGGGTGCAAACAGCGTGGGTTCGAATTCTGCTTCCAGGGCCGAGGAGATGGCTCTGTGGGTAAGACTGCTTGCTGCCAAGCATGAAGACCTGTGTTCAAATCCTGGCACCCAGGTAAGAACACTGAGCGTGGCTGTGTGTGTACGCGCTGGGACCTGGGGTGGGAGGTTCTGGGGAGAAGGTCTGTCTGGAGGGAATGAGACAAAGACAGACTGAAGGACCAGGCGGCCTTCTCCTGTGGCCCCAGCCTCCTCCCTGGCTTGTCTAGCCAGTGACTCTGCCTGTCTATGCCTCAGTTTCCCCAGCTCTGCAGTGGAAGATGTCCTGCTCTACGCAGTTGTTTAAGTGAGAGTTACTGATCTGACTGGAGTGCAGCGAGATTTCCTCTTGTATTCTGTGTGAGTGCTGTGCGTGTGAGCGGGCACAGGGGGCAGAGGCCGTCTGCCCCGAGAGCCCCACCCTCCCGGGTCTTCGCAGCACAGTGCCTAGCTCTCTCTATATATACAGGGGATTCGAACTCTTGCCGTGCCCTTTACCCGCTGAGCCAGGGAATTGTCTCTCCAGCCTCTCCAGTTTTCAATGTTTTTTTGTTTCCCCCTGACAAACAGAATTTCTCTGTGTAGCCCTGGCTATTCTGGAACTCACTCTGTAGCCCAGGCTGGCCTCGAACTCACAGATCCTCCTGCCTCTGCCTCCCGGTGCTGGGATAAAAGGTGTGCGCCACCACCGCCTGCCTTTAATTTTTCTGGCAATATTGGGGATTGAAACCAGGGTCTTTCACTTGCTGGACAAGCACTCCGCTATGGAGCCACATCCTCAGGCTATTTTGGTCTTTAAGCAAATAACTGAGGAAATTGTCACAGAAAGCAAAACACGGAGAAATGTCAGTGGTAAATAAGATTTTGGGAACCTGTGGTGTTTGATGAGAACGGTCCCAGATGGGGAACTGTTTGGGGAAAGTGAGACTGTGTGTCCCTGGTGGAGGAGGCGTGTCCTCCTTGGAGGGGCGTGTCCTTCGTTGGAAGAGGCGTG